GTGAATTACTAGAAGAACTAAGCAAAAGAAACCACTTTTTAATGAAAACCTTGGGGAATTGTCCTCAGAATTGTGCACTGATTCTGGTTTGAAGCAGTGCCATCATTTTTGGGTTTTTATTCGATTCTCTATTAAAATGTGTTTACAAGTACATTTCCCATTTTAAATAACTGTGCATACCCTAAATTATTTTTTTTTCCTTGGAAGATAGTGTACTCCCAGCTGAGATTCTTCTGAAACTGACAACTAGAAGACTGTAGACCTAGATCTAGTAATAGGTGAAGTTTCCAAACTTTATCTGAGATGAATTTTCAGTCTTTTGGGTAGGTCTACTTTTTATTTTTCTTTTCTAGCAATGCTACACAAGTCAGATTATTTCAGTGCCTTCCTTTAATGTATAATAAACTCGCACACAAATCTATAATTGTTGCTTTTTGATTGGACAATAACTATTTGATAAGAATGAGAGAAATGAGGAATGAATGAGGAATAAAGCTGCTCTCCTAGGTGACACTGATCCCTAATTGTTACTTTGCTGAAAATGGGAGTCAATGGGCTTTTTAAGATGAAGATCAACTTTGTTTCCATCTCTAGGCTTATATCTTCACATTCCTAGCTCAGAAATGTATTCAGTCTTCAGTTTAATTTTCTTTAATTTGACACATAGGATTTAAAATCCTTTTAAACAGAATATGATGAAAATAGAGCACACGTATAATGGGAAACAGGACAATATATGATTTAAATTATAATAATAAATATTTTTAAAGATGGATAAGAATAGTTGTACATTTCTATCAAATGTTGGTTCTTGATGAAAAGTAAAGTTAAAAAGAGGAGAATGAGGAGACCATCAGAGATTCTCAAAGACTCTTGTAGATATTTCCAAGAATGTTCATGTTTCTTGACATTGTTCTTATATTAAAAAAAAAATTAGAAGTCTACTGTAAAAAAATAATTTCTATAAAGTAGGAAGTTTCTCCTAATTAAAAACAATTAGCCAGTTATGTACCATTCCAGTCCTTTCATGTATATTTATAAATAACTCAGTGTTTGACTCATATAGATCAATTTCTATTGCTATTGCCAATTCTATTATTCTGTCAACATACGTAACTGTTTTTTAACCCAGTTTGGATCATAGCACAGTGAAAGGGAAGTGAAAGTATCCAAAGTGTCAGTTGATCAGTTGTGTCTGACTCTTTGGAACCCATGGACTGAAGCCCACCAGGCTTCTCTGTTGATGGGATTCTCCAGGCAAGAATCCTGGATTGGTTAGCTATTCCCTTCTCCAGGGGATCTTCCCGACCCAGAAATTGAACCCGGGTCTCTGGCATTGCAGCCAGACTCTTTACTGTTTGAACCACCAAGAAAGCCGCTATTACTAGCAGTAAAAGTAAATTCAAGTGGACCAAGGCATACATGGAGTAAAAAGAAGCTTTTTTATAAAATGGATTAATACAAAATACTCAAATTTGAATATCCGTGCTGTAATTTCACTTAAATATTCCATTGGAAATATTTTAGTAGGAAATACCAGAGATCATAAAAAATGATCCTTAAATTATCATGCCTATTATTATTTGACCTGTTAACTTATTTTGTAATGTTTGATATACACCATTCTTTATCTGCATACACATCCTACCTTGTTCTTTTCAGCAGCTGCTTAAGTTACCATGATATTGCTGGACTTCCTAGGCAGCACAGTAGTAAAGAATCTGCCTGCCAATACAGGACACCCAGGAGTCACAGGATCGGTCCCTGGGTTGGGAAGACCTCCTGGAGGAGGTCATGGCAACCCACTCCAGGATTCTTGCCTGGAGAATCCCATGGACAGAGGGGCCTGGCAGGGCTACAGTCCATGGGGTTGCAAAGAGTCCGACAGGACTGAATGAACACGCACTGATTATGCACTGTGATATTGCTGAACCATATTTTAGCCATTGTTTTACTGAGAAAACTTAGATTTCCAAGTGCTAGTATGATGAATGGCAATTCACTGTAATTAATGCACATGTTTATTTTTCCACATGTGTGTTACTTAGGATGGATTTTGATGAATACTACCAAAAAAAAAAAAATCCCTACTACAGCAAATAACATTCTTTGTATTTGGTATGAGAGGGGTATTGTCTTGATGTCAGTAATGTAAAGCCTTTTAATGTTTGTTGAATTCACCAAACTTATCAGTAAAAATTGATTTTATTGTTATATTAATCTGTGATTCCTTCTGTCATGTTCAATGGGCATGATTCTCTTTCTGAGAAATGCCTGTTCATTTGTTTTGCCAACTTTTTCCTTCCATGTAAATTTTTTAAATTGATTTTTAGAAGCGTTTTCTGTGTTGTGATTTTAAGAATGCTAAGAATTTGCCTGGCATGAAAGATATTAGTGTTGGCAGTTATTCTGGCCCTGTTGCTTGTCTTTGAATTTGCTTATGTCATTCATAACTTCATAAAATATCTTCAATATGAGAAAGATTATCCAGGTTTGGGAAAAAGCATGAGCTGAGGCTTGATGATAGAATGACTATGCAATTTCTACTATTATAGGAAGAACAGAAAAATAAACCAATATGACAGATAGAAAGTAAAACATTTGGTCCCTTATTCCATAAGTAGTATATATAAAATTTAAAAAAAAAAATTCTCAATATTTTAGATTTGTTTTACTTGCCTGAACACATATAGGCCAAAATATAATCTGTATTCAAAATGCTAATTTGGCCTTTAAAATCTGACTGTGTTAATTAGGATGAATTAGAGCAACCTTGTCTGTCAGACCTGCTGTTTAATATGTATGACAATTAGATTTAAACCCAGTTGACTGCTGAAAACATTAGCACGCAGTAAAATGATTTGAAACAAATATTCTTCCAGCTTTGTGCTCGGGATCTTGACTGTTGCTCGTAACTTACAGAACAGTTTCCATACTCTAATCATACTCACATGCTAGCAGTTACAGTTGAAATACATAGCACAGTTCTTTTCACATTATACACTCTAAGACGACTTCTGGGGTGGATGAAATGAACACTTAGGCATTTACTCACTGGGCTTCCCAGGTGGCGCTAGTGGTAAAGACTCTGCTTGCTAATGTGGGAGACACAAGAGACATGGGTTTGATCCCTGGGTTGAGAAACTCCCCTGGAAGAGGGCATGGCAACCCACTCCAGTATACTTGCCTGGAGAATCCCATGGACAGAGGAGCCCGGTGGCCACAGTCCATGGGGTCACAGAGTTGGACATGACTGGGCACACATTCACTCATTAGGTGATTTATGTTATGGGTTATATATGGGTTATAGTCTAGGACTTTTTCTTCATCAACATAATATACTGTAGAATCCTAGAACTGAACATGACAGGAGATTTAGCCTATCATTTAAAAAAAATTCCCCAGTGATAAGGCAACAAATCCCTTCCTGTGAAGGACAGAAATCAGGTGGCAGGAAGAGACATAGACACAATGAGGTGTCCTGGTTGCCCCCAAGAGACATCTTGAAATGTCGGGGTCCAGCTGCCGACTCTTCGCCTTCTAAGTGTAGAAGCTCAGTCTTTCCCCCTCTCTTCAGAGTCCTGGACTTGACTGTGTTCTCTACATCAGTTGCAAAGTAACCAATTCACAAGCTCCCCAAATAGATAAAATAAGATAGCAGGAAAATTGCTGTGCTATTTGGGATCTCCTGACAGTTTTAAATATTACATGATAAGCTAAATTGCATGTGAAATTAGGATTACTTTGTGAGTATCAGACTAAAGATATTTAGCCGAAATAGCGTGAAAGCAAATGCCTGTAATTCTGACACCTTGGATTCCTGCTGTTCACTAAAGAAACACCAGGCAGGATCCACAGCCCCAGCTACCTTAGGTCTGCTCAGCACAGGTGGGAAGTGTGATGGTCCTTGCTGCTCCAGATTCTGAAGAGTATGCTCTTAATTATGGTGGATCCATCACACCCTTAGGGATTAGGGTCCTGAAACCCGCTATGGGTAAATAAATCGAGGGAAAAAAATGTTTTCTTTTTAAATGGGGCTCAGAAGAAAGTACATCACAATCAAATGTAGTAAAACCCTAATATTAAAAGATAATAATAATAATGAAATAAAGGAAAGGAATAGCATTTCTTCATGTTAAATTAGTGAGATTAGGAGCTCTGCCATTAATTATGTCTAGGCAGATAGCCAGTGGGAATTTGCCGTATGAGGCAGTGAATTCGTACCTGGTTCTCTGCGACAACCTAGAAGGGTAGGATGGGGTAGGAGGTGGGAGGGAGATTCAAGACGGAGGGGACGTGTTTATCTATGGCTGATTCATGTTGATGTATGGCAGAAACCACTACAATATCGTAAAGTAATTATCCTCCAATTAAAAATAAAACACAATTTAAAAACTATGTCTAGGGCATAAGGAGACTTCAGCCTTTTCCACTGTGGTTATAGAAACCATTACTTAAAAGCACCTTGCCACACTTACTAGCTTTTGACAAGTTGTCAGTAATTTCATTTCTTTATTTGTACATGGATGAACAATAGTTATCGACCTCAGAGGCTGATTATGAGTTTCAAGTGAAATGCTTCATGGAAGCACAGAGAAGTTCTCACTAAAAGTTAGCTATTATTGATAGCTAATTATTATTATCTTATTTTTAAAAACTTACTGATGTCATCTTTATTCTTTAATATGGACCATGGATACATGCAAGAAAGCTTTTTGTAAAGTAAGAAATTCCCTTTTTGGGAAGTCTCTGCAGTTGTGTGTCATTAAATTCTGCAGAAATTTGAACTGCACCCCCAATTTTTCTGGCCCTCTTCTTCCATGTTGTTAGTTGAATGTCATTAAAGTCAGCTCCAATAGATACAAACCCAGTCCTCTGGTTTGTTATGTAGGGGGAACGCTCCTTTTCAATTACATCTATTTTCAGTTACATCAAGTTTTCAACTTGAATTAAGTCCCTCCAAGGCGCTGATTGCGTTTCTCCACACTCGTTCTGGACAGGGTCCCTCCCAGCCTGTTTCTCCTGCAGAGTGTAGGTGGCGTGTGGAGCAGCGGACCACCTCCGTGTTTGCAAGGAGCCTCTCTGCTTGAGTCCTGCTGCCTTCTTTGCTTTGGTTTCATGCGCATGGAGACACAACCACGGTGACCTCCGTTTCTTCGTCTTCCATCAACTCTGACCCAGGAGCACTTCACAGGACCAGAGCTTCTCTGATCAGGGGATTCTCTTTTCTCCTGAAAAGCCAGGATTTTTCTCCTAGCCTCTTGCATCATGGTTTCTTCTGTGTATCTCTACTGGTGGAACACCTTTCTGTCGGTCTTCAGGTCACTTGTCACAGAGCTGCTCTATAAGTAGTTGTGGTTTGGGAATGCCCCTGGTGGGGAGGGGAGCCCAGTCTTTCTGCTCTTGTGGGAGCTTTCTTCTCTGTAGGTCTAGAAATGCCTGCACTTAGTTTTTCCTATACTGAGATCACTGTGTAAACCGAAAAATGGTTTAGTTGTCCTTTTTTTTTTTTTGGTCTTTTGCTTCATGTTAATCTAAGATGGCAATGAGTCTCATCTAGATGAGACTTGAGTCTTAACTCTCATAATCCTATTGGCCAGAGCTGCCAGAGCATCCTATGAGGATTCTGTAGCTGGATGCGAATACAATGGGAAATAGTATGGCCTTTGATAAGTCGTCGAGATAACAGCTTATACTCTCTCTATGATAACTGATATCATGACTATTTTTGTTTCTGTCAGAAAAATTTTTTGACTCCAAGATAGTCTTTCAAGACAGTCTCCCATGTGTTGATTTTACAGTTCAGCTTTCAGAGTTTTGAAGATATTACTTCTAGTCCTTAAAAAAAAAAAGTAGTCAATTAATTAATGTATGTGAAAGCATTTTATAAGCTACAAAGTACAGTTAAAGAGCTATGATAAGAATTCTATTTATTGAATCTCTTCACAAAGAACAGATATGTACCGTGATTATTCTAGTTGTCATCTGTAGGTGTATATTCTATTTTCATGTACATAGACAGTTTAAAGTTAGACTGTCTTTAAGATAAAATCTACACTAGACTATCATAGACTGTCCTTTACAGTTATTCCCACTGTATCATTATAACTGACAAATTTTGATCATCAGAAAGCATTTTGGTATTTGAAAGCTTTAAATCTCTGTGAACCAGCAATATGAACAAAACTAAATAAAAGTTTATTTACTAAGGGCTCTAACACCCTAAGTAGCACTGTAACTGTTTGAGATATTTGCTTCATTCAAAATTGTGTTTAGGTGGATAGATAGGTAGATAGTGTAGAATTCTATTCCTTTTTGCCTCTTGACAGTTTTTTTTTTTTTTTAGAAAACACACAATTCATATTGTTTGTATTATTTTGTAATATCTCATATAAAAGATCTAAACTGATATTATTATTCTTACTTGAGGATACACATTTGAATAAAGAGTTCAGTTTTAGACAGGCCATCTAACCTTACTGAGGCTGTGTCTGCTTCATTAAGAACTCACTTCTCAATATAATTCTAAGAAGTAAAATGTCCCAGCTTTACTGTCAGATTACATAGAGAGTACCCTTACTTAACTAGTCCTGAATTATTTTACCTCATGGCAGGAATCTGTAAACTAGTTTTGAGTTTAAAATGCAAGCCTTTCTCAAAGCTTTCTGCCACATTGTGTAAAACTACCAATTAATAAGATTGACTTCCCCCGTGGATCATAAATCACTAGCAGATTGACAATGGATTTTCTTCACCTTTGTAGCTTCTGTGCTCCTTGGAGTAAATTAAACTGAGTTTATCTATCAAAGCCTTTGATCCTGGAGACAATTCATCCTGCTTATCTCAGGACACTTTGCCTGTTTTGGAAAATTCATCTTCTTTGTATGTTCTTCTGTAACTTAGAAAAGGCCCTACCTTAAACCCCAAGATCTGGGTTCGTGCCTCACTCTTTCCAGAGGCAGAGGCTAGAATGATGATGGGAACGTGGGGTCTCCATGGCACCCTCTGGAGATTTCTGCCCTGATCACTTACCTGGACACTGCCACGTCATCCTGGGTATCTGGAACTGACGCTTCATGACTTTCTCCTTCAGAGTAATCTTTGAAGGGAAATTTTGTCACGAGTATCTCTCTTTTTTTAAACATCTCAATGGCATTTTTTTTGTTGTGTGTGTTTTGCAATGCCTTTGAACAGTGAATACAGAGCAGACATCAAACATGCAAATGACTCTTCTCCTAAATGTAATGGTAGAAACTGTGTGTGTGTTCTTTCAAAAAATCATAGCATGTCTGGGCAAAGGCCAATCCGTTGCAAGTACATTGACAGCTCTTGCTGACGATGCTGCTGAAAGAGCATTTCAGTCTGGAGGCGTGAGCATTGGTTGGGCGCACTGCAGGGTTCTCTAAGGCATGGTGCCTGCCACATAGCTGGTAGGGCTGTATGTCTGAGATACACATGCATATGTACATGTCTATGTCCATGTACACACACACTATTCAGTCGATATTATGACTTTTTATTGAGATCATTTGTTAGAGCATTTAAGGTTAATGGAAAAATTGAGGGAAAGGTAAAGAGATTTCCCATGTATCCTCTTTCCCCACACATGCACAGCCTCCCTGCTTCCCAGTATCCTCCAACTGATGATAAGCTGTAGGATCATTGACTGACACATCATTATCACCCCATTGACACATCATCATCACTCCAAGTCTCTAGTTTACCTTAGTGTTCACTCTTGATGTGTTTGGACAAATATACAGTAACATATATCCATTATTACTATGTCTTACAGCATATATTCACTGTCTTAAAAACCCTCTGTGTTCTGCCTGTTTATCCCTCCCCAATCCCAGCCTCTGTGCTAAGTCCATGATTTAATAAGGGAAGTTTATTGGGGAAAATGCATATGGACCAGAAGGAAGTAGCTCTGCTTATAGGAAATGACCTCTGCTTATAGGAATTAGAAAAAGCATGGCGAAATAAGTAGTATTTGATGTGGACCATAGAGAAAAAAAGAGTTACTGCAGGTACTGAAAGCTGGGGCTTTCTGGATTGGATACACATGTAGATTTTAAAGTGGCACTCTATGTCCAGGGAAGTGTGAAACACTTGGTATAGTTTTTTGCAAGACAAAGATTGTGAGGGGTCAGGATGGAAAGGCAATTGAGGGCCGCGTGGCCATGGATCTTGCACCCCATGTGAAGGGACTGGTATTTTATCCTGTTGGCAATGAAGAGGCGGTGAAAGGCTTTAAGGATATGGGATGGCAAAATTAATTCTGGGTTTTAGAGTGACAGTTTTATGGGGAAACAGAAGAATTCGGAGGAATGGGAAGAAACCAAACACAGGTGATCAGATAGAAATTATTATAAGAGAAGAGAAAGGTTGTACAAGAGACAAGGCCACTCCCACTGCATTAATTATTGTTTGTTAATATCTTCACAGATTAGAAATAGAAGCATGGCATACAGTGGACACAATATTGAGTATTTGATAGTGGGTTTTCATCTTAATTTCCTCCATATTTCTCTGTTCTTCACATGTACTCCACAAATACTTACAGAAAATATGTATGAGACAAGATGGCTTTAGACATTAAAAAATGCAAGCAAAACAAAACCAAAACCATCTAGAACTTTGGGATATACTCTGATATGATTGAAGGAAAAATTATTTATAGTCTGGTTTCATCCCTTACTGTCTTTGTGATTGTGAATAAATCATAAGCCCTTATTATAAATATTGAGATAATAAATTATAGACTCTATTTCTTTATGGAAAACTTTAGGATAGCTCTCTTTATTTTTCCCATCACTGGTGCCTTCAGATTGGATGTGACACCTGGGACTAAAGAGGCCTTGTAGAAAGTAAGAAAAATGGGATCATTTAGTTGTAACTTAATATTATCAGTTCAGGTGCTTGTGATCCATTTCACTTTTCAAGGTTAGGAGAGCAGAGAAATACTTGAGCCTGATGAAAGGTTTGTGTCTATAAAGAGAGTATATTTTCCTGAAGTACCCCAATTGAACATATTCTTGAGAAAATAAGACCAAAGTTATGGTGAAAAGTAAAGTTCCCTAGTGGCTCAGCTGGTAAAGAATCCGCCTGCAATGCAGGAGACCTGGGTTCAATCCCTGGGTTGGGAAGATTCCCTGAAGAAGGGAATGGCACTCCACTCCAGTATTCTTGCTGGAGAATTCCATGGACAGAGGAGTCTGGTGGGCTACAGTCCATGGGGTTCCAAAGAGTCAGACACTACTGAGTGCCTATAACACTTTCACTTTCAAAGTATGATTTAGGTCTTGTGAAGAATTAGTGGAAGATCTTTTCAAATACCCTATATTTCAGTACTGCTAACATTTGGATTATCATAGCTCGAAGCCCACCTGCTTGTTAAGTTTAATGAATCAGTTCTTGGATTGCATGTCTCCTCAGCCTGATGGAGGCAGCATCGGAGCCTAACGTGATTGTCTTTGATTCTTCAAGGTAGTACGAACAAGTATCCTTGTTCACACTTTATTCATCATGCTCAGTGCGGGCTCAGTCACATCTGACTCTCTGCACCCCCATGGACTGTAGCCCGCCGGGCTTCACAGTCCATGGGATTCTCCAGCAAGAACACTGGAGTGGGTTGCCTTTCCCTTCTCCAGGGGATCTTCCTGACCCAGGGATCAAAGCTGCATCTCCTGTGTCTCCTGCATTGGCAGGCAGATTCTTTACCACTGCGCCACCTTGGAGGCCCTATTAATTATATACCGGTTATTAAGTAATGGTTTCCTTAATTATATACCAAGTTATTAAGTAATGGTTTTCATTTCTCAGAAACTCTGAAAGGAAGTAATTCTTTAAAGAAATTGGGAATGCCCTTTTTTTCCTGCACTGTCAATGGAGCCAACTAGTTGCACTGACTTGTTTAAGAAGTCCTGCAGAACTGGGTGGGTTTGCATCCCTGTCGGTCTCCTAGAGCCCACACAGATGAAGACACTGGGTAAATTCCATGAGAGATAAGATCATCACTCTGAGTAAAAGAAGTAGTCTGGTCTGAAAAGATCATTTATAAAGTGCTCAAGTCAGGCTGAGGTTTAAC